ACAGTTTTACTGTGCTTATATTAATGAAGCTCACTCATGTTGTTCAATGTATGTGACTGTGTTCAATTTTATCCACGCTCTCAGAAACATAGTGGCCCCTCTACTCCCTCCCTTTCTCTTCTCCTCTCTTCCTCCATTTGTATCACTTATTTTTTTCATTTTCATTTGGCATTTTGTAACCCTGTGTATTCATTAAAAACTTTCTAGCTTTAGTGGGTAATGCTAACTGAATAAAACATTTATGTATTGGAAGGAAAACAACAGAAATTTCTTTTAAGAGAATTGGAAGTAAACATGATAGCCTGTTCTCAGGATTTAGGTTCTTTCAAAAAGCAAGTAGCAAAGTAAGAAGAAGGAAGTTGTAGGTCATGTTAAAGTACATCTTTTCCTGGAGGATTTTTTTTTTCTGCTAAACATGCCTATTACAGGGCATATGATAATACTAAGATGAATTTTCCTTACGGTCTCCAAAAAGACCTCTGCGTTCTTTCTCTGAAATCATAAGACAAATAAACATTTATTCTGTATAGGCTATGCAAACATTGCTAACAATGCGACACTATTGGTTGGAACTTAAGCAATAAACGTTTTTTTTTTTCAGTTGCCCTGGTTTGGATTTCATGGACATAATTGTAGGGGGAGAAGCAAACTGTCTGACTCAGGAGATAGCTCTGAATGACAACAAATCATTGAGGTGTGCAATCACTGAGATGTACAGAGGCAAATTCAGTTCCTGCAAAAATTGTATCTCCCCTCATGACATATATTTAAGATTACCATTCTTTCAAAATCAAAACTGAAGACACATCATCTGAAAAATCGAAGCATATCTATGCTTGCATTGAAACATTTGGGGCTGTTATGATTAATTTCAGGCAATTTTTATACTACATAGGATGGTTTTAAGTTCTTTCTGCAAGTATATAGAGGTTTTACTGAAACACAAAGCTATAAAACTTGCTTGCATTCAAGCGTGGTTTCTGTAGGTCCTGTTTCTGGTCTAATATATTCTAAAGAACTGTTACAACTTTGAATAGTTCACTACCTGCTCTGCAAAATGCACACTTTTTAAAAACAATCTCTTTGTATAAAGAATGGTAATGCCAACCAGCTCCTCTGAGTAGTAGTACAGTATGATGCTAAGTAATTCTGATGGTAGAATGATAAAAATGAGTAAACTCTCTTCTTGCTCCCTTACCCCTTATGGTTCCACTTGATTCTTAGTTCACTTTTTTCCCCCAAATAAATAGCAAAACGTTTGCACTATTTCAGACCTGGTAGTACAGTCTATGAATATCTTCATCTATTGTCATAGAGTTTTATTTTGTCTTCAGGCAGATGGGGCGCTCTTTTGGATGGGAATGGATCAGAGACTTAACTAAGTTTCTGGAGGTTGGGAGAGAAGGAAGGAGCTCATCCCTTGTACCACACGAAATCACAGGGCTATTTTTTCTAGGTGTGGGGTCAGGGGCATGGGGATGTTAGAGCTCTAAGCACTGGTTTCCAGGTGGGTTGGCTGTGAAATGCAAACCTAAACCCCTCTCAAAGAGCAGAGGAAGCAGTAATTTCCTCTGTAACTTTGTAAAGTTTAGGTGCAATTTCAAGTGCAGATTTTAATGGAATTCTCACTTCACAGACAGTTATAGGAAGTGCAAAGTGAGTTGAAAAAGTATATTATTAAATTTGCATTAAGTATGTGATGAGAAGAACCTCAGAAAAATTGATCTCTTTCTGAATATGTGTCTAGGGTCTAGAATCATCTTTTCATATATTTGAGTCAAGACATACTTCCAAAGATTGATATATTCAATTTTAATTTTTTTCTGAGCTTTTAAAAATTCCTTTAAAATGTATATGTAGCTATTCAGTGTTATTTGAAAAGTACCTTGTTATAGGATGCACTTTCAGTACACCCTCAATCCAGTGTTCATAATCCTAAAAGCTCAGTGTTAATGGTCCTTATGTTTGTAACTCAAATGTCTAGGACACAATATTAGGTAAATTAAATTGACCTCGACATATCTGCTGACTCCTTTAAAAAATGCCAAGGCATTACATGACAAGAGCTTAAATATTTGCCATGCACCATAGCACATTAAGCTTTTGCCGTTTGGTTTTGCTTACTTTTGAACAGCTAACAATGTACCTACCTCCTTGTGATTTTAGTTTGATCTCAGTGGTGAACAATGACTGGGTTGAAATTATTTCAAATTAAATTCAACTGCCTCCTGGTTGGATGTCACAAAGCTAGACTCTTTAACTGACTTGTCACTTTAGGCTCTAATGTCCTAATGGCAGTGGTCTTAAATATAATCTGGATGCTGTATTCTGTCACTATAATCCTGAAGCATCTCCTACCAGGGAAAATACAGTGGTTAGCCAAGGCACTGATGAAGGTTTGTGTTTGTTCCCATCCTTTCCCCTCACTGAAGTAATACGGCTCATGAGAAAAGAATTATGTTAAAAATCTAGGCAAAAATCTTGGTGCTTTTACAATGGCAGTGAGGATTCCTGAAGACACCCATTTCCTATTTGTGGATATTTCTATGAAAAGGATAGTACTTGTGGCTGTAAATGCACAGTCCTAGCTGGGGCATGTGTGGCTAGTAGTGAAGCAGAGAAACTAAGGCTAATACATCTTACCCTTAGTTTACATCTATAGTCTGCTTCGCTGGAATGCCAAACCAGAAGAAATCCTATCCGTAAGGACGGGAAGGTGAAATGAGAAGGAAGAACAAAGCAGAATGTTACATTTTCTTTATATGCAGATTTCATAAGGAACTTTAGCTCATCTGACTGAATCAGGGATGAAATTCCCCATTTCCCATGGAATAGCAAGGCAGTTCTAGCAAATTTGTGACAAGGTTTTGAATGAAAAATATTGAAAAGCATATTTATTATTTACTTTAGAATGTTTTAACTAAGAGTGGTCATTAGGCAGAAATGATTGTTGAGAAACATCCTTATGAGCGGAAAGCAGTACTATGTCATCTCTTGAGAGAACTCATGTTATTACAACCCATTAAAGGCAAAAATTTTCCTCCCCAGTGACTTACATACAGATATTTCATTCTCCTTTATTGTATTTCATTTGAATTATCCTTTTACTTGTGGAAGCTCTAATAGTGTATATATGCATATATGTATTTATACACGAATGCATTTATTTAACATTCTAAAACTTTTTAAGGCTCTGGTTTAAATTACTTTGATCAGAAAAAAATTAAAAATAATGCATATCTATTCTGGGACATAATATTTGACAAACAGATTATCAGAGGCAATGTAAGACTTTAATATTGAAGATTCAAGATAAAATATTATCTTGGCTTTTGTTTTCTTCTCATCCAATGGATACATGTGTTGGGCCCAATTAACTACAGCCAACTGGATCTGAGACAGTAAATATAGTTATTCTGATCCAAGACAGCTGTCTTCCTGAAACATTGCTTTTGGATGTCCGGTGCATATTTGTGTCTTATTATATTGAGGAACGGATACAAATTTTAATATTGAGTCTATTGGCAGCTTTTAGACTTAGAAATACTTTTATAAGGGAAGTTGGCACCCTGTTGTCTACTATGTCTTCATAGATAACTACAATGTACGTGACTCATTTAATCAAACCAGACAAAAGTTCAAAGTGGAGAGCTTTTTTGCATGGGCCAACTGACTTGATTGTCTACATAGATCAAATAAAATGGGTGATTACCAAATCTCTACTGTATTTTATACCAAGGAAAACCAGTCAAAGAGGAGGGTTGTCTTACAGAAATTGCTTAGAAGGCTGATATTTTACAAAGGAAATCTTGACATTTAGCAAAGATCAAAAAGACCAACATATTGGTAATGACATTATGTAAACACAATCTTCAGGAAAATATTTTTGGGTCATTGTTAATATTTCATGTCCAAGTAACTCCACAGGATTGAAAAGATTAACCATTTTTAATCTATGGTCATTTGAGTCTTTCTGTTTTGAGATTAAGCTTATTGGATCCATATTTTTAAAAGGGCTTAATCCGTTCTGAAAATCAACAACAAAAAATCTGTCATTTTATCACATTGATTCAAAAGGCATAGTGTGCTGAGCAGAGTTAAAAAAAAGATAAAATAATATGCAAAGGGGGCATGCAGTATGGAGAAACTATTGAGAAATGAAGAGTAAGTACATTTTAATGCTTGACTTCCTCCACAGATGAAGGGATGAGCTCATGGATCCACTATTACCTTTTATGAATACTTAGATAAAAGAAGGGAATGGACAATCTCCCATGAATACTTTCGGGAAGTACCTGCAATGTCCAAGAATTGACTTTTCTGCAGCTGACACATTGCTGTGTTTCAGATTACGTTTCATGTTAATTTCTTCTCTTGCAATTATGGAGCTAGGTAAGAGATGTTATTCTTTAAAAGAATACAAAACCAAGAAATGAAGGTGGAAATGATGTCTTAACCAGAATACAATTTTAAGGTTAATATCAAAGGTAGAAAATAGAAAAAAGCATTCCTTACAGAGGACTACATAAAGTCTTGGGCTTTCCACACAAGGTCCTTTGATCAGAGGTAGCACTTACTTTACATGTCACCATGCTGAATTTAACAATTTAACAATTCTGACTTTCCTCTACTTTTTTTTTTGATGAGGTCATAAATATGTGCTCGAGAACAAAATATTACACACAGAAGGGCCATCTTCTATGATGACCCCAATTCACATACCACAGTGTGTTTTGGTCCCATTGGGCATCTTTCTCATGATTATGTACACAAGCTGGACTCTTTAGTGTGGTATAGACCTTTCCTTCCCAGCACTCGACTTAGTGGAGATATCCTTCACATGTGCAGAGTGGAGTGGCCACAGAGAATTGAGTTTTGATGACTCAGAAGCAGGTACTTTCCTAGGAAACTAGAGCTTCCCACAGGTTCTTGCAGCAAACTGCTTCCACATAGATGGTGGCTTCTAAGCTCAGTGAGGGTCTGAATGGCATGAGACCCACTTAGGGCAATGGAGCAGTTTCTGCTTCCAGATTTTCTAGCTGAAAAAAGAAAGAGCAAAGACAGTGAGCATTTCAAATTGGGTTGCAGTGCACATTTATCGGGCATCTTCTGTGTGTCAGAACTGTCCTGAGGGCCCTCAGTATACTTTCACATGCAACCCTCAGAGTTTTTCCTAAATGTCAAGACATTAATTAATCTCTTGGGTCATTATGAATAATCTCTTGGATCATTATGAATATGCTATTGCATTTGTAGACACTAATATATAAGAATTATACACTGGTCATCAAAGAGATATAATTGATACTGGCTTCCTTGAAAAAATACATTTTTAATCCAAAACCCTTATCTCCCTCTGTTCTTGACCCTCTTTCTCCTTCTTTATCCTCAAATTACTCATGACTTGACAAAAATTTTAAAAGAAAAAGCAGTGTCTCTCTTTGCAATACCTTTCATGTTCTTCATTTCTAGATGAAGGCATTTTTATTTTTCACTCAGTTCTCAAAATTAATGGATTTTTTTTTCTGAAGCAACTGATTCGAAGTACAGGGATTTCGCCACCCCCACTTCCATTGTAAAGCTGGCATATACATTGAGCAATAACACGATGTTTGTTCACGCACATAAAAATGTGGCTTGAGGGCGCCTGGGTGGCTCAGTTGGTTGAGCGACTGCCTTCGGCTCAGGTCATGATCCTGGAGTCCCGGGATCGAGTCCCGCATCGGGCTCCCTGCTCAGCGGGGAGTCTGCTTCTCCCTCTGACCCTCTTCCCTCTCGAGCTCTCTATCTCTCATTCTCTCTCTCTCAAATAAATAAATAAAAAATCTTAAAAAAAAATGTGGCTTGATATTTTCAAATGTGGGAGAATTGTGGGAAAGAAATACGTTTTGTAATTAACAAGTAATCACTGCTGTCATTGTTACTATAGTTTTTGGTGAGACGGAAAGGAAGTGTTTATAGAGTCAGTGTAAAAGGATGAGAGGGTTTTTCCTTTAACTTTATTTTGGTAAATTTCACACTTCAGTAAAAGTACAAGAATGAGAATAGCATAAAGAACACTTGTGTACACTTTACCCAGACTCAGCTGCTATTAACATTTTATCCCATTTGTTTTATTGTTTGCTTTCTATTCCTTTTTTCTGTCTTCTTCTACACACACGCACACACACACACACACACACACAATCTCTCTGAATTTTTTGATACTCAGTTGAATTTTTGTCACTACATATTTCAATATATATTTCCTAAGAATAAGAAATAGAAAGATCAGAATCGCCATTTGGAAAGGCGGTCTACCATGGGCCCTGGGTTTCCTGCACATTCTTGCTAACTGTGTCAAACTACAAAGCTTAACTGTCTTCTGGCCTGGATCAGTTTCTGCCCGTGGTCACATAGGCAATTGGGTAGGCCAAGGTGACCACAGCATTGATCACCGTGTGAAGTGTCTGTTTGTTTATTGCTTGCCCCAAAAGGGGCTGAGACTTTAGCTCTAGGTTCCTTAACTGTGACACAATCCATTAAGTGTGCAGCCGCCATCTGGTCCCATCACGCTGCCCTGTGGGATCTGGGGGCAGAAGACGCACTGCTATGCTAAAGTTTCTGCTGATGCTGTGCTGTGAGTACTAAACTGTCTGACTTTCCTCTACTTTTGGCACCTAAAGAGTTGTGGCAAGACAACCTGCTTGCTTGCTCAGTCAAGAATCTGGTTACTTCTCGCCATCTTCTAAGAGCTCCTTCCCAAACTGGTACCACAAGCAGGATGTCAAGATCGAGAATGACTTTTTGGAAGAGAAAAGGCAAGGGCTCCTGGACTGGGTCTGAGAATATGAAGAAACTCTCTGGGACCTGGTAGCAAATGTTCTGACCAAAGTGGTACAGAAAGGTGGAGTAAGTTGTCCGCTCCTGTCCTCCCTGTTGGTGAACGTGACTGACTCAAGTCAATGGATGGGGGCTGAGTGGTGAGGGATAAAGTCTAACCGATTGCCCAAATGGTGCCATTGTTGTTGTTTGCTCTCCTGTGGACTAGGAGGCTAAGAGAGCACTCTGAGCCCTACCAGGCAGAAGAGCACAACTTCACCAGTTTTAAGTCAAGACTAGAAACAACTAGAGGGCAAATGCCTCTATAATGAATACTAAGATATAGACCCATAGTGAGAGGGAAAAGAGGGATATCCAGAAGTGCTCTGATCAACTGGCTGAGGAATTGTTAGACATGTGGCTGATGAAGGAGTTAGGGAGGTTATGCTCTTAGTGAACAAAGCACTTATGCCATCTTACAGGAGACCCCATGCTTTACGCCAGTGTGCAGATCATTTAAACTGGGACAGAATCGTGCCCCACAATGAGGTTTGCTATTGTGTATTTCTGTTACAATTATCACATTATGACCAAACCAAGGAGACTTTCTTGAGGCCAACAAAATCCTATGAAACCTTAGGAGAAAGCTACTCAAAGGCTGAGGCAGCTCCAGGCTTGTTCCTTCCTGAACAGAATGACAGCCTGATTATGATCCCACAACCAGAGAATGACTGGTTCCCTTTTAAGATTACCCCCCTCCCTGCAAGGTGTAGCATTCTACTATATTTTTTTTGGTGAGAGACCCCATGCTGGAAGTTGTGCTTGGGGCCATTAGACTCCCAGGATAAAGATAGCACTCTCTAGCCTAGGCAGTCTCTGCAATCTAAGACAAAGGCCAGGATGGGAACATCCAATGTCCTCCAAACTGTAAGGCAATGGGATAAGCCTCTTAACATGGGGGATCCCAAAGCAGAGACTGTTGGGATGATCACCAAAGAAATGCGGTCCACATATGAGGCTATGATGTGTCCCAAGGGGGTAGTTACTAATTCATATAAATAAAACTCTGTGTGCCTCTATAGAACCAAATTCCTTTGCAGAGACCAATTTCCCTCTAATGAGGAACTAGGAAGCCATGTGGCTGCCTTAGAGCAGATTTCTCCCTCAGAACCTCTACTACCTGACCCGCATTTCTGTATCATGCCTTGAAAACCTTTAAGGATAAGGGATGAGGTAAAGTATTTTCATTTCCAGCACGAATCAGAGGCTTCATACCCTTAGAAGGGCAGAATAGGGTAGGGAGAAAGGCAAGAGGGGGTGAATATAAAGATATATAATATATATATATATATATATTTTTTTTTTTTTTGGATGCCTGTGCCCAAATGACTAACATGCTACGTTCTCTTGAGAGGTGAAGACTACACATTCAGTTAGCCAGATTTGAAACAGAATCAAATGGGAAAAGGAAGTGGCTGTTTGGACCCCTGTTATGCACCATTTTTGTTGCTCCCAAGACTGAATGTGTAACTGGTATTGATAATTTACATGTTTGTTCTGTGAGGCTCATAATGTCCAAAGGAGATGTTCCTGATATGGAAGAGCCTCTTGTAGGTGGGTGATGTGGGAGATGCATGCACAACAAATCACACCTCCACTTCAGTTTCTCTTCCATCGTCTGTAAAAGAAACAATTTAGAATTCCAGGAGAAGAAAAGGAAATCATAGTTTAAATGTAACAATACTTATGAAAAACACTATCTTAATATAATAGTGCTGTGTGGCTAGTGAAAAAAGCTAAGGAGATCTGGAGGCTTATGCAGGATAATTGCCAACTGAATTCAGTTGCTGTTCCTACAACCTGGCTACTCCAGCCATTAAGACTATGACTGAAGCAATTGCCCATGATGGCACCTGGTATGCGATCCTGGACTTTGGTCATGTCTTTTTCTCAACTGCTTTAGCCTCTGGAGGATCCAGATCCTTCACCTAGATGTGCTGCAGTAGTAATACTTGAACTCTCCTGATATTTGCCCCCCAGTAGGTAGGTTGGCACACAGAACAAATCTCTCTTTGTTGGTGACATGGTCCTACTACATTGATGATATTATCTTGATCAGCCCCAATTAAGTTAGCAGATGCTAACTCATATGAAGCCCAGGAAAGCTTGTTAATTCTGATAAAATACAGGGATCAGCCACCCAAGTCAAAATTTTGGGAGTGATGTGGGCTACAACTCAAAAGTTGATCCTAAAGACAGTGAAGAGAAGAGGACTATGGCTCCCTACCATCAGAAAGGCAGTCTCACAATTGCGCCATTCATGTATTGGAGATAATATGTATCTTATCAGTGTATACATTTGTTGAGTCTGAAAGTTAATCAGAAAATCTGCTGAATTTGACTGAGGACCTAAGTAGCCTATGACCCTGGAGGTTGTTCCAACACCGGGGCACTTTTGAGCTCCATAGGAGGAGGCAGCCTCCATGAGGAGAACCCTTTCATGCCACTTTGGTACAATTACCCACTTCAGTTGGGGAAGGAACTCCTTAAATGTTGGAGGTGCTGGGAGAGGGAAATAATGAACCTTCTCTTTGTCTCCAAATTCTAGCTCTACAACCTGGCAAGACAATCACATGGTTCACGGAGACAAGAAGCATCTCTGATTGCCAACCTGACCAACTGCTGAGTAGGTCTATGCGCTGTGGGATCAGGAAAACTCATAAGGGCTTGGCTGGCCCTGAGTTACTCTATTGTGTCTGATGTTATCAAAGAAAACTCCTAAATGTGAAGCCCCTTGCCCATGTACAAATGCCCAGATAGATGTGATCTTGTTTTAGTCAGGCTCATACCAATTCATATGTTTTTCCTGACACCTGAGTGCTCTTGGGTTATGCCATGTATGTCTATCAAGGCTATAACTACTTGATAACCTTGCCAAATGGACTATACAAATTAATGTAATGGTGATCCAAATCAAATTTATGGACAAAGTCTGAACTAAAGTAACCTGTCCTGTCAGTTATATGTTTGTATGTGGAGAGAATGGGCCACAGGATATCTCTCTGCTGGACATGGTTGGGGGCTGCTGGTTAACTCTTCTTTGTCCCTTGCAATTATTGGCAATGACACCATTCCTTGGATCACATTCCCTTTGTCAGGCCGCCAGATAAAGAGGGCTGTCTGATGCTGTCTGACTTGAGGGATATGTGGATTCCTGTTTTCAGGTAACAGTGTGAAA